TTGTTCAAATTTTGTTTCGTTTCACTTTTCATTTTATTTCATCATCTTCGATTTTGTGTTTTAAATTCAACGTTTTTTGTTCGCATATCGAAATCTTCGCAAAAATCACTGTTCAGGTTTTGAAAATGTCCGCAGTTGGTCAAATTTGTAGAAAAAGGTCAATTAATAACTGACGGACTCTCAACTCATTTCATCTTGAAAATCTCCGCTGATTTTGTTTCTTTTCTTCATTCTTCTTCGAAAATCAACGGCCACATAATTACTTCCGTTGAATCTCAGTTTGACTTTGTTTAAACACTAAAGTTTAAGGAAGAGTGCAATGAAAGAACGAAGCAAAGCAAATCACGTGAAAATGCTGACATCTCCAATCATAATTGAACTATACAGTAAAGTAATAATGGCAATGATAGAAGTGATGAACTTTGAACTGCTCTTTATTCATCGCATTTCAGGTCGCCGAAATAGAAGTTAAAGTGATGTGAGCTGACAAATGAAGTTATTACATTCGAATTGAAATATATAGAAAGTTGTTACTGAACTCGAGAAATAGTTGTCAAAGGTCTTCTAATGGTCATCTATTGAAACGAAACATTTCGAGTGAGAAATATATGATTTGTGAGAAGAGATTATTAATCCGATGATGGCATCACTTTCATTCTTTCGAATGCTGCTTTTTCCAAATTCTCCCGTTGACTTGGATGTGAAATTTTGATCAGTTCATACGCCCGTTGTCGCATATTTTTGCCCCATAATTGAGCTATACCGTATTCGGTGACCACATAGTGGACATGAGCCCGTGATGTCACCACTCCTGCTCCCTGTAATTGCATATTATTATATTGCAGTCAAAGAAAAAAGAAATCCTTTATGGGGTTTATTTTAATCATATGCACACCTCACTGAGATAAGGAACAATTTTTGATTCGCCTTTTTTCGTTAAGGAAGGAAGAGCAATGATCGGTTTTCCAAGGCCATCTACACTAAGCGCTGCTCCTCGGATGAAGTCAACCTGTCCACCAAAACCGGAAAGGAATCGACTACCAACAGAATCAGAAGAAACTATAAATTAAACAAATTACATGGCTTATTTATAAGAATTTCTGGCAAATAGATAAATTATAAGCTGATCAATTGATTTCTTGAAATTGCATTCATTTCATGTAATCTCTCATTCAACATAAGCAAAATAAAAGAATAAAGAGCTCTAGAAATTTTAAAATTTATAAAAGTTTTCTAAAAATTAAAAAAGATAATTATAGTTGGATGAAATAATCAAAAGGTTGGATAACCTTGACCCGTAAGATCAATTTGCACTGCTGAATTTATTGCAGTCATTTTTGGCATAATTTTCACAATCGATGGATCATTTACCCAAGCAACATCACCAAAAAATACGAACGGATTATCATGCAGGAAAGAATACAATTTTTTAGAACCGTAAACAAACGAAACGACCATCTGCAATTGATTTGCTAATATTTATAATTATGAATTGAAGAAAGATTATTCACAAGAATCAGTAATCATAAATCAAAAAAGAAGGAAATGAATTTCTTATTCAAATGAATGGGAGAAAAAACTAACTTTTCCTGGATGAAGAATTTTTTTAGCATTAGTTATAACATTACATTCGACAAGCTTCAAAACACCATCTGAGAACATTTCTGTATGTATTCCAAGATTTTTATGATTACCTAACGAATCCAAAACAGCATCCGGTACCGCACCGATTCCTGAAGCAACTTTTTTTCGTCAAATTTCTTCTTTTCTCTCTCAATTTAGCCAATATTACCATTAAGTTATCAAATAATAGCAAACAAATTTTGTATACTATATAAAAACATATATTTAATTACATTAAAATATGATGATACATATATATTTAATTACGGTAGGAAATCGGGTGCAAATGCGCTTTAACATTGTTAATAATATTATCCTCAGATTTTGAAAAGAATTTCGAAATTTACTACATTTGTTTTTTAATAAAAATGTGAGGATTAATATAATGACAATGTAACATAAAAGATAATTTAATTTTTTTTTTAACCTAAAAGCATAAATATAATAAAAGCATAAATATTGCGAAAATAAAAAAGAGATCACTTTTTTTCAAAATAATACATCAAATGGATAAATTTGAAGAGTTAAATTCGTTTAATAATTCCTTGTTGGTGTAAATTGATAAGAATTGTTGAAAATAAATTCAGAAAAAGCAAAAACACACCCATCTGAAGCGTTGCACCATTGTCAACTAATTCATTCGCAATTAAGTTACCAATTTTTTTTTCCACTTCTGATAATTTTGCAGCAAATTTACGTTCATGCAATGGGAAATGATTTTCAATCATAAAATCAATATGACTTTCATGGATCAATGTTTCACCAAATGTACGCGGCATATTTTTGTTACAAATTGCTAAAAATGAAAACATTCTTTCGATATTATTACCTCTCAAAATTAAGCAAAAAAATTAAGCAAAAAAATTAAGCAAAAAAATTAAGTAAAAAAGAAAGTTAACCGATTGTTAAAATATATTATTAACACAATAAAAACCAATTATAACAAACCAATAATGCAATCTGCTAAAGTTACCGCAGCACGAGTAGAATCGGCACCGGTTCCCAGTGTGCAAAAACCTCCGGAATCAGGTGGCGACACCTTAAATTTAAAATCAGGTTCTATTCGCATATTAAATTATAGTGAATTTTAGCACCAATGAATTCTACTACCAATGAAATAAACATTATTTGTTCAATGTGAAAAAAAAATTGGATAAATAAATTTCATCAAAATATTTTGTCTTTGAACTAACCGTAATTAATGCGGCATTTAGATGAATCATTCCTGATCGGAATAATTGTGGAATTTCATGAAGAAAAATTGAGTTAAAATCCGCTGTTCCTGAAAAATCAATTGTTTTCTGATAAACAAATATAATATAAATTACTACCGGATCAATCAGTAACGAATATTTAAATAAAAAATTTACCATCATTAACAGCATCCCTTAAATTGTGTCCCGTAAATAAAGAATTCGAACGGATACGATCTAAAATATACAAATTTCAATGTATGAAACTGATAATGAAAAGGATAATTTTTTTTAGAAAGTAAATTAATACAATGCTACATTCGAATAAACAACCATTTAATATTGAAAATATTAACAAAAAAAATTCCAATCAATGTAAAAAACAGGAAGGGAAAATGCTGACCTTTGACATCAGGAGCTAACCATGGAGTTTTTCCCTCCAAATGCATATGATGCAAAGTTATTTTTTTGAAATTATTTGCTTTGACATGCTCACATAAACCTTCCAGCAATGGCGTTGGTGTTGCTGCGATACCATGCACAAATATATGAGATCCTAGAAGATACCTCATTTTCATTTGATAACTTATCAACGTTATGCATATTATTGATAAGTTGTCACATGATTTACGCAATGAAGTGAAGTGTTCATCTGAACTTTAACACTTAGAAAATATTCAAAATCGACTGTTGCACATATTAACTATCGCATAATAATGAATGATATATTTCGAGTAATAAATTTTATTTCAATAAATTGCAAAGTAGTGAAAAGTTTTTTCAATTATAATCAAATGCGAAAAAAAAACAAAAAAAAAGGAGTTTATATTAGAATTTTTTAAGTTATTTTAACATTGAAAATATCATTCAATTAATACTTCGTAATTGCCCTTTATACATTTCAAAAAAAAAAGATATTTGACAGCGTTAACGAAAATTTCAGTAGTTCTATACTTTCGATGGGTTTCACCACAATCACAAATAATGCTTTAAAAGAAAATTGAAAATTAGGGAAAGAAATGAAAATATGTTAATTAATAGAAATATTAAATAATTCACCACTTTTAATGGTGGAAACAGCTTCTTTGCATTCTTTTACAATTTTTGGCTTCTTGCCTGCAATTGGATAAGTCACCTCACGTCCTTCTAACTTTCCCCGTATCGATCGAGATTTCACAATAGAAATTGAAAATTTTCGTCCAGATGTTGTTGTAATGAAGCGATTGAAGAAGCAGTTCATATTACGTGACATTTTGTTAGTAGCATCAATCACCCACCGATTACGTTATTCAATTCTTGTTAAATGAATTTCAAATGAATATACGTCCTTATAAAAGCGTAAATAATAAGTATTGATGCGCCATAGTGCCATCGATAAGGTCGGCTCTGTATCATTGATTGGTCCTGAAATTCTTATTAGCCAATCAATTTTACATAAATTTTTCTGAAAATAAAAGACAAAAAAAATGACAAGAAATGTATTGAAATGGGTATGCAGTGAATGCGTAAAATGAGGTGATTTTAAGCAGATTTTGCACACAGAATAGGAAGAAAAAAATCAATTGTCATGTTTGTACAGGAAACTGAATGAATGAAAGGTTAAAAGTCATCACACGGTGCAACTGGGAAATGAGATGGTCTTTGAAAAAACAAAGAATACATTTAAAATTTTAGTTAATCGAGAAATAAAGGAAAGTTAAAAACTTTTTTACATCATATTTCTCTTTTATTGAAGAAGTTTACGCGCACGCACACACATAGACACACATACACAGATATACACACAGACACACACACAGAGACACACACACACAGAGACACACACAGATACACACACACAGATACACACACACAGATACACACACAGGAAAACACACAGACACACAAACACACACGCATACGCACACGTGTAAATAAATGTTTCATACGTTTGAAAAAAAAAAACGAGAGATCATTAGGTAACATGACATCACCGTCTGTTGCGTTATGACCTCATAATCTTAACAGTACATTAATAATTAAAGTTAATAAATTGTTATATCTTACAAAAGCTACAATGGAAATCCAGCGAAAGAAGTAATGTTGAACAAAGATGAGCCTCGTTTAGTATGATACAAAATCGAGAATGTGACAAATAGGATGACCTAAATGACAGGATGACCGATGACAAAATGAGAGCATAAAAGAGATGAATGATTCAGTCAGTACAAAATGTACTTCAACGGTCGAGACAGTCTGTTACCGCACGAAGTGAAGAAGCAGAAAAAGCAGATAAATGTCCTCATTTTCTCCTTTTTCCATCCTTTCACTTTGTGCGGAATTCGCAGTGCCCCGAAATCAATAGGTTGATGACCATCAGATGAGTGAGAGGATCGGAGATTCCACAAATGAGAGGAATGTGACGTATGCCTTCCATACAAACTTAAGGATTGCTATTCCGCAGCTTTTGATTAGATAGTATTGAGGTGGTGGTTTTTTTTTTGGTTAGATAGTATATAAGCTCTTTACTGCAGAAGAAAGAATTTTGATTTATGTAATTGTGGCCAATTAGTTCATATTTCTATTGGAAAAATGATACTTTAAAATGGAGATAAATGGAAAAATTTAACAAGCATTGCACTAATAATGCGATCATAGATTGCAATTACTTCACATACACACACACACACACACACACACACACATACA